GATCCACTGGAAAATAAGCCACACTAACGAAATAAGCCTGGCTTATTTGGTAATCCTGTTTTATGGAACAGGGCTCAGCTCACCAACAAATGATACAAATTAAATAACACCAGAGTCACACATTAAATTATACAATTAAATGAAAGGATTGGTACATAAATTATTTTCTTTCTGACACTTCTGACACTATGTATTGATGAATATATCATTTTACATTGATTTACAAAGGTTGGTCATCTGTCAACCAATCTTTATAAAGCACTGTTAGCTCATTCTTGAAGCTTGAAGTCATCCACAGCAACTGAATCAACTCTAACCCCCTTCACTTATTGTAGAGGTTGCCTCAGTATCTCTAAAAGTGTCTCTCAGCTGCTTCGTGAATAGTTCTTAGGAAGAAACTCTTAGCAAAAAACCTTAAGGGCTATGTTATAAAGACAATAAGTAAACTATTGATAACTTTTGAATTCTGCCAGTTGCTGAATCAGATTGAGATGGGGAGGATTTAGTAACACCTCCTGTTTCTGTAGTAGTACTTTAAAATCCCCTAATGGAAAACAAATGAACATTGCACAATGATTACTTACATGACTCCACATCAGTCGCTTGCCAAGAGTTACTGGGAGGTACTTGTGACTGTATTTTGTGTTGTGACCTTCCCAAGACATAACAGGTGGAAGAGATGAGAGAGATAGAAATCACCTTCTTTATATTTTATATGTACTTCAGCTTACATCATACTCTTTTAAAAGTTGATCAGTCGATTCCCCAAGGTAAACCATCAAACAACGAATGACAACATCTCTGGTTATGCCGATGCTAGGATTGCTTGGAGCCTGATATTACAAAAATAAACATTATTCAAGTTCATGGTGTAAATCATCCACTGACCTAAAACCTGCTGCAATTTTGAATACTAGGTGGCTTATGTTGTTGATAAATGAGCCCCTATCAAAGATCCTTGATGTGCTGTCTCAGGGACCTGTAAAATGAAACCCTTTTCGTCATTACTGAGGTTTCCTGGAAATCAGAAGTGATTCCAGGAAGTCATTAGTCCCAGTAAAGAAATAGTGCATTACATTTTTTTTTTTTTTTTACATTTGACTTGCTTTTAACATCAACATTACTTACTTTTGAATTCCTGCACATATCAGGGTGGAAGGAAATTAGCTGTTTGATAAGTAAGCAAAAGGAGCAACAAGTAAAAGAGATGTAGATATGACAGTAAATTATAGCAAGGATCAAAAGTATATTCAAATCAGGGCTGAAAAAGAGATGGCGTGAAGAATGGGACAGAGGAAACAAGGGCAGATACAGAGTATTCAAAAGAAAGTAGGTGAAATGAGGTGATAGTATCAAGAATGGTTTGTCTAAGATAAATACTACAGACAGACTCAGGTGATGCAAGATGTAGGGCGATATACAGGTTTCTAAAAAACAGGACTCTACAACAGAATTTAGTTTAATATCCGTTCTGACTCACACTCCTTTCCAGACGGTGGCGGTAAAGCACTGATAAGTTGTTTGCCAACCGCAATTAAACATCAAAAGAAGAAAAGGAGTAGAGGAAGAGGAAGAAGACGTTTTCTACAATCGATTATTCTGGGCTGCTCATGTTATCCGTGCACGAGCCAAACACAAGTTTACTACAGCCTGGCTAGAATTAGCTTTGATAACATCCGGTTGAATTGTGTTTGTGGAATGGCTTAAGCCTCAAGTGGAAGTTGAAGCTAATTCAAGCTGGACCTTTTCACTTAAGCCAAGAGTAGTTCAGCCACTTCCCCACTGGCATTTTATCACATGCCACTCAAAAACAATGTCCGCGGAAGTTTATTGACTCGGATTTCAAAATAAAAATTGAAGAATTTTAAAGAAACTGTTCCAAGTGGATACATTAATAAGGTGGCTTTGTTTGTTCATCGTGGACCAAACAAGCAGGCATGTTGCTGGGCCTATGTGTGCTTTTACAATGCATGCTGGCACTCTGGAATAAGTTGTGTGATGTTTAAAGTCCACAATTCCTGCTCTCCATGTTTGTTTGCCTCTGGGATTAACAAAAATGTGGGAAAACAATGCCATCTCATTCCTTGTCATCAGTTTTATTTTGTACTTTTACATTTATTTAGACTTTTTTATACTGTGCTTGTTGTAGCACTTTGTAACATTGTTGAGAAGATATTTATTATCATGTAAAGTTTATCATTATTTGTTATCATTTGAACAAATTGTCAAGGTAGAACATTGGATAGGCTGTGATCCTCCAACCAGAATTGCCCCTGGTATGGTATGAATGCGTGAATGCCCCCAAAAATCAAGACTAGAAGAGCACTATATAAATACAGGGCCTTTAATGATTTTGATCATGACTAGACACCTTTTCTTCTTGTCATAGCAGGAAAAGTACAGGTGGTACTTATAATATGAATTACTCTTCAGTTCTGTTTACTCCAGCAGGCAACGCGGCCCTCAATGTATTAGCAGTATAGATAATGGATGGATGGATGTTCTATTTTCTAATAGTAAGCTATGACAGTGTGACAATATCAGGACCCTTCAACTAAAGCAGTTAAATGGAATTCAGCCATTATTACTTTTATTATTCACATATTGTATTTACTCTGAAAATATAACTTGTTGGGTTTATATTTGTAGCTGTTTGTAATACGTTTTGCGGTAAATTTCTTACGTATACTTCGTACATGTATGTGTATATTAAGTATATGGTTTGTAAGTGAAGTTTTGGAGTCCCCGATGTCATTTGATGCGTATTTTTATGTGCTTCGTTTTATTTTGAATGATTTAACCGGATATGCAAGAGCTGTTACCATTTCGAAACTGACAATTGTCTATGACACCCGGACCAACAGAGAAGACAGATAAACAAACATTAACACGGATTATTTTGTGCCAATCAAAGCGATATTCGTCTGCTGAAGCTCGTTAACACTCACACAGTCCATATGCTTTGCATGGCATGGCGGAGAAACAGGACAATGAGGTAAATACTTGCTTCAGTCTGCAAAAAGAAGCACAGGGGCTGCTACAGTGGGGGAGATGGCACATTTTCCAGTTGGTTATTTGTCCTGACAGTGAGTAGTCGTTATAGTACTGTTTAAGATGACCCATTGACAAAAGCAGTCTCCCTAAAGAGCTGTGCTCATTTATCCAGACGGGTCTCAATGACTGCAGTTGACACGTTAGCCTACTAGCAAGCATTGCCTGCTAAGATACTAGTAAACGTGAAGACTTAGATCGAGTCAATAGTTACATTAATGCTTGGACAGTTTCCTGTATGCATGGCCTGTGAGAACAGTACTTATTTGGATCTAAGACCAAAATAGTTGATAATAGCAGTATGTGTAGTACGTGTGTTTTAGCTATTCGACGTACAAGTGTACCGTAAATATGTTTTGCATTGATAATATCTGAATTGGAATTGGTATACACTTGTCAGCGTCCGCCTGAAACGTCCATGGGATAGATGACATCACAACTATTTATAAGTTATTATTTAACTAAATTAGATGCTCGGTGAACTAGCTATAACGGTAGCTGTTGGAAGGAAATGGGAAGTAACATGTTTTAGTCTGTAATATATAGAGGCTCAAATGCTGTATATATTTACCAATTCACATTAGTGA